TGTATGGTGACTAACATAACATAATAAAACTTTTAAAAAATGTGTGTAAACCGTCTAGCTAAAGGTCTGACATATAGTAATTCTTAATAAATAATGTCTTCCAATAGTAAAAAAAAAAGAAAAAGAAATGTAATCTACTTCCACCTCATACCCACTAGGTATGGGTCCAACTTCTTGGTTGATAGAAATATTGTATACCGTGATTGTTGTGTATTAGTTATATGGACATACTCATTACTAAAACTTGTTGAATTGTATACTTAAGGCCTGTGCATTTCATTGTATGTAAATTTTACCTCATTTAAAACAAAAATATTTTTAAGTCTTTTGTGTGCTGTCTTCTTTGTTGACTGACACCTTCCCCCACCCCCACTGGGTGCCATTGTCTTGCTCATCTTTGTTTACCCAATGCTTAAGTGGAGAAATTTCTGTTTATAATGAAGAGGTAAGAAGAGTAGAATAAACCAAAGCATATGAAATATAATTCAGGAAGACCTCAGAAACTAAAATTTGTCTTAGACATCTTTTCATTGCCCTCACTGCTCCTGGGGCAGAAGCTTTGACAAGCCAACAAGAGTTTTTTTGTTTGTTTGTTTGTTTTTTAAAGATTTTATTTATTTATTTGAGAGAGAGAGAATGAGAGACAGAGAGCACGAAAGGGAAGAGGGTCAGAGGGAGAAGCAGACCCCCAGCTGAGCAGGGAGCCCGATGTGGGACTCGATCCCGGGACTCCAGGATCATGGCCTGAGCCGAAGGCAGTTGCTTAACCAACTGAGCCGCCCAGGCGCCCAAGCCAACAAGAGTTTTATCTGCAATTCAACCCAAAGTCCAGTGTTAATTTTTGTTGTCTTTTTAAATAAGTAAAAAAAAAAAATAGTGAGTGGCTAGTATACAAATGTACTATCTCTATTAATAATTATAACTGGCACATGCAATAACAAACACAGTATTGCTATAAAAACTGACTTTTTCCTAAACCATTGTTTTCACTCAAGATGTATATGAAAAGGAAAGCAAATTACTTGCATCCTGTATCCACTCATTAGGTCATTCATTAATTCATTCATTCACTTAGCATTTGTTTGTTGAGTCTATGCTAGATACTAAACTAGACGTGAGAATATACACATTAATAAGAAACTATCTTTTCTAAAAATAAACTGGCACTCTAGGTGGGTAAAAATAAGTAAGTAGACCAATATAAGAATGACTAATTGAGTAATGGAAGAGATAGGTACAGACTAACATGGGTTTCTTCTATTTTTTTCTGGAAAATATATATACACGCCATGTCTGGCCAACTCCTCCAGGCTTCTCTGCCAGAGGCAAGTCTCCTCACTGCCCACCTCTTGTCTTTATTCCCTAATCTCAGGTTTTTGCTCAAGTCGTGCTCTGCCTAGAAGGTTCTTTCACTGTTTCTCCCTAGCATGCCCTGATCTGCACTTGAACTAAGTCCAAGTTCTGTTAAACAATGTTCAATTATATCTTTTCTATCCCTATGGCTCCCACATGCTATCAGGTCCTTTCTCTACTTGCTTCACACGAATTTGTCTATGCTGCATTACATGTTGTATGTTCCTGAGAGAGTAGAGACCCATCTCATACTCAAAGCCTACTCACAGCATTGGTCCACAGTTGTGACATAGATGCTCAAAAGTAGGTTGTGTTATTAAAAGTAGTGTGTGTTATTAATGCACAGTTGTTAAGCACATGATATGCACAAATTACTGAGAATTTTTCTTGCTGAAGGTGGGATAGGTATGATCCAGGCACCTTTGATCTGCTCTCCCTACTTGTGTTCAAACACATACTCTTTCAGTATAGCCACTGCAAATATAGCACAAGCCAAGACCATGGCATGCAATTTCTCCACTCAGCAAGTGTGCTGATATGGAAAATCTATGAAATGCAGTTTAGAAACAATGACTGCCATTCCTGAATTTCTCTGGAGCAGCTAGTGTGTCAATGTCAGTGGCAACTCATAAAGTATTGACTTGAAGGGTAAAGATGAACATTTTTCTTATCTCTGTGCAAAAGGTAAATAAGCCTGAATTCCCTCTGGGGAAGCTCTTTCCCCTTGCAATGGGATGGAGATAGCCAAAAGATATGTCAGGACTCTCCTTGTATAAGTCTAAAAGTTGTGCATATAATTTGACACTGGCCACTTCTCAGTATGCAGTGAGCCTTGACATGCCATCTGAGAATGGCAGAAAGACCACAATGCCTGGTAGCTGGGAGCAGAGGGTCAGCAGCTGCATTCCAGAACAAGGTCTCAAGCCTTGGTCTCAGTCCTAAATATACGTTAGAATCACACTCATTAAATCAGAATTTCTAGGGGTTGGAACAAAGCATTAACAACTATTGAAGCTCCCCAAGTGATTTCAATGGGCAATCCAATTTAAGAATTGCTAAATATGATGGTAGGTGTATTCCAGGGGTTTCAGACCTTTCTGAATCTAAATTGCCTAGGGAGGGGGCGCCTGGGTGGCTCAGTCGTTAAGCGTCTGCCTTCAGCTCAGGTCATGATCCCAGAGTCCTGGGATCGAGCCCACATCGGGCTCCCTGCTTGGCGGGAAGCCTGCTTCTCCCTCTCCCACTCCCCCTGCTTGTGCTCTCTCTCTCTCGCTGTGTCTCTCTCTGTCAAATAAATAAATAAAATCTTTAAAAATAAATAAATAAAATAAAATAAATTGCCTAGGGAGATCTCCAAAACTGCATGCGATGGTTAATTTTACGTGTCAACTTGACTGGACCATGGAGTGCCCAGATACTTGGTCCAACATTGTTTTGGTTATTTCTGTAAGGGTGTTTCTGGATGAGATTAACATTTGAATCTGTAGACTGAGTAAAGCAAATTGCTCTCCCCAATATGAGTGTCCCTCCTCCAATCAATTAAAGGCCTAAATAGAACAAAAAGGGCTGACTCACCCATGAGTAAAAGGGAACTTCTGCCTGACTCTTGAGCCAGGACGAGGGTATTTTCCTGCCTTCTGACACAAATGTTAACACTGGCTCTTCTTCGGTCTTTGAGGCTTCTGGCTTTCAGACGGGAAATTTATAACACAGGCTGTCTGGGTCTCTCTCTGGTTGCTGACTGCAGATCTTGGGACCTGTTAACCTCCATAGTTGTGTGAACCAATTCCTGATAATAAACCTCTGTGTGTGTGTGTGTGTGTGTGTGTGTGCACGCATGCATACGTGCATATACATAGTGTTGGTTTTGTTTCTCCGGAGAACCCTAATACACTGTAGATGTCTTACCCCACTGCCAATGATTGTGTTTCTACTGGAAAGGTGTGGCTCCAGAATTTTGCTGATTTATTTTTAGTATTAATATTATTATTATTATTCCCAGATAGTTCTAATAAGGACAGACTTTGCAATTTGGACATAACCGAATGATCTCAGGCAAGTTACTTCCTGTTCTCTAAGTTAGTTATTATCTTTATATGTAAGATGAGGATAACTATACTACCTTATGTGGTTATAGTACGTTGCATTGCAATGTAAATGGTAGAGTGCCTGGCCCATGGATATTAGGGACATTTATTTTCCCACATATGTGTGCAATTGGCAAAATATTTTTCCATAGTAAATGTTCAATATTGCTTTTAAAAATAACTAGAAAATATTTCCAAGCATCAGTGATTTAATTTCCTTCAGAGTACAGTTTGAGACTTATTTGTGTCCCAGATAACATCACTCTTTTAATTTGCCCCATAACAATACTCACATACCTTTTGCCTGTCTGTCCATTCATGACCCAACCATTGAACTAGTACAGATAGGCATTGGTCCAACAAACCAAAGTTGCTTAATGTATTTTTGCCTGTTCCTAACTTCTTCCAGTTACTCACCTGAATTTCTTCAGGCATTTCAAAGAAACAGGTGGTAATAGCAGTTACTAAGTGACATGAGACAGGATTTTACCAAACACCACTTGTTGGATATACTTGGTCTGATTTTTAAACCTGCATCTCTCATTCATGCCACTATAGTATCATTTGAAATTTGAAATTCCTTAAGCAATACATTGGACCCTAGAACACTGCAACATTTTAGAGTCCCCATTGGCTACATAGTCTCACTTTGTAACAATTCATCTTTGTTACCTTTAAAACATTTGAAAATGTGCTTCTATGTAGAAAGGTGGTCTCATGTTTATAGCCATAAATTAATGAGTGTTTAAGAGAGCTTTTCTATAATGATTATTTCAGGTTATTTAAATAAAATTTTTACTTTAAAAGATTGCTTTACTTGAATCTGAAACCTCAGTAAAGGCAAATAACTCAAACGGTCTAAGCAGCAAGTATGATGCAGTTATAATTATCTGAATATGTTAACATTTAGGGAACAGTCAGGCACATTACTGGCCTTTGGAAAATAGAATGCTTCATGTAGACACTAATTAATCAATAAAATCCTAATTGGATTCTATTAAGTATTGGAAACGACATTTCAACTTAAATATTCCATGTACAACACTGACCCATTCCCAAGCAGCAATAAAAGCCAATTAGGGTGGTATTCAAATTACAATTATGAATGCTATCACCACCCTCATCTACATTAATATTACAACAATTAAAGAGAACACAGTAAGGAATGAATCAGGCAAATCCTCCTGCACAAATGCCTCATTTTGGGGCTATTGTTGAGAAATTCAGTATAACACAGAAGTGGCTTTAAAAAAGCATGAGCTTTGGAATTAGAAAGCGTGAGATAATATCCACCACTACTAATTATGTATATATCTGAGACCAATATCTCCTCTGTGAAATGGGAATAACAGCAGTCTTTTTCAGAACTAGGTTGAAGATTAGAATTGATGTATGTGAGTGTTCCAGCAGAGAGCTGTTCACATGGAATCCTGCAGAAAATGGCAGATCTACTCCAGAA